TCGAGGCCGGATCACGGAGTTGCAGACGGGCCATAACTTGGGCGCTGGTCGTGTTGAGCAGACTGGGGGCGGCCTCGGCTCGCGAAAATGGAATCGTCGGCCGAGGAGAGACACATTGGCGGAGAGGGAGGAAGGGAAGGAGGATGGAGCAAGTCGCGCGGCGAGGATTAAATGGGGGCGACAAACGGCGGCAAACGGACGGGCGCCACGAGGGTTTGGTGAATGCGACAGAGGCGAGTGCGTGGTGAAGAGATTCTAAGCCGCCGTTGAGGTGACAGGGTGAAGAACAGGGAACCCCTCAAGGTCATGATCTTGTCTTGTGGTTGGTGGCAGTGCGTTTGCCTTTGTGTTTGCGGTGCCGCGTGGAAATACTTCGGACTAAAGAAAAAAAAACGGCCCTTTGGAAAGGGTCCTTCCAAGCCATGATTGCTTACCAGAAAACCTGCCCACTGGAAATACAGCAGGTAAGTTGAATTAGGCATTAGTAGTGCCATACCTCACTCCTTGGGGCGCTATCATATCCTTCCATCCATCCGTCCCTTCGTCCCATGTCACTGTTACGAATTAGACTGCCTCTCCGGTTCGTTCATCCTGCCTCCAGCCTTGGCCCGTGCTCTTCCCCGTACACCAGCTCGCCACTGCTCATTTATTCCTTTTCTTTTCTCGCCTAGATTTACCCCTCTAGGTACAGTTTCGAGCCAAAAGTCTCCGTACATTCACACCTTTACACTAGATGTAGACCAGTAACCCTTATGTAGTAGGCAGGTACTTAATGCATAGTAAGTGATGTAATATTCCCTAGCTTATATGCTATTTATGTTTATTTTAGTAGCCTTTCATAGATTAAATTAGGAGAAGGATCTTGATAAAGATGTTAATAAAGCAGGAGTGTACGAAGGCTTTTAGCCTCAGACTGTACCTTGCCTAACTAGCCCCTCACTGGCTTCAGGTGTTCCTCCAAGTCGTCATAGGTAGTGAGCTTCAGCGAACCACCCCGGTCTATGAACCCCACTGTATTTTTAGGCACTAGAGCATCACTCACCACAACTGCAGCAATGGCTTTCTTTCAATGCCACCATTGCACCGAGCAAATATTTGCATCTCGCGCAAGCAGATAGCATCAAACCCTCGGCTTCTGAGCTCCTCAGCTCAGCCATATCTCCCAACCAGCCCTCGTGACCCGCGAACCGATCCCCATTGCTCAACTCCGACTTATAGGTAGTTGGTTTGTCCTGATCTCGGAATCGTGCCCCGCAGCTCTCATCGTCTCGTCTCGCCTTACCGCTCCTTCGGTCTGATTTAAGTAATTCACTGCCCCTCCCCCCACAAAGCTCACCGCACAAAGATGAAGCGCTCACGAGAGCTCGAGGACGAGTTAGATTCGGACGCACTCCGAGCGGACACGAGACCGTCATCCACAGCACCCTTACAACCGGTAGTAAAGCTCGCCCTGCTAGACTGCGCCATAGAGGAGGACGACGACGACAAGGAAAACACTTTCGCCATGAGATGCTTTCTACCCCCTCACAAGGAACCCTTGACCTTCCAGTCCTATGACGATTACGAGGTTCATTACACCAAATCCCACACGAATCGATGTCTCGAGTGTCGTAAGAACTTTCCAACCGAGCACTTACTTGGCGTTCACATCGATGAATGCCACAACCCCATGGTATTAGTTCAACGAGAAAAGGGGGAGCACACGGTATGCCCCGAGTTACAGTCTTCTAACCCCGATCGTACTCGTTGTGCGTTCTGACTACAAAAATAGTATTCGTGCTTCGTAGAGGGTTGTGAACGCAAATGTTTGACGCATCAAAAGCGGCGCATGCACCTAATCGACAAGCACATGTATCCCAAGAATTTTTTCTTCGGGGTCACAAAGGATGGCATCGATGGCAGGAGGTCCCTCCTTGTCGATGGTCATCACCGCCGTCGCTCCTCAACTTCTACCCAGTCCAAGGAGTCACGACGCCGCGCCAGTCTACTAGAAGCGACAGGATCACAAACGGAGACGGGGACACAAACAACAAAAGAACCAACGCCCAAAACACCGTCATCTAAGAAGCCCGAAAAGGCAACAGCGAAAGCGCCAAATAACGATGAGTCAGTGGACACAGACATGGCGGATCTTACGGGGGCCATGTCCTCACTGAACTTTGTTCCCCCAAGCGTGCGGTTTGGGAGAGGCAGGGCAGGGTTCTCCAAAAGATAGGGTATCCAATAGTTCCAAACTGAGTGTTTATGATCAGTACGACGTTATGAATGATATGAACTGGTCAAATGAGGGATCTTCTACCTCGTCGAGTTTACCCTCCATCATCTTCAAAAAGTCGTAGGCCATGAGGCAGCTTCTTTGTTTTCCAAGTTGCGCCAAACGCCATCTCTTCGTACGCCCTGTGTGCGGATCCCAAGGAAAAATATCTCTAAGTTCGGTTTCCTGTTCGACCGTGGTATTCTAATCGCTCGAGGAGCAGCCTCGGCATCCGCAACTGACACATTCGATGTCCTGCTCATCTTTAAGGTCTGCTCGGGGAACTCGGCAGATGCACGTGCTGTTGAAGTTGGTCTCTTTCGTCTGAATGCATCTAAGACAGCAAAGCTTTGGGTTGAAAGTCAGCATTTTGAGTGAAATTTGATTTCCACAACGGCAGAGCAACCAACCTTTTCGTAGCCTTGCTTCTTCCACTTCGCGATGAGCATCGCGTCCGCGTACCCGTTCTTCAGCAACCAGTCATAAAGCTGCTTGCTAATCGCTTCTTTCTCATAATACAGCTCGTACACGTATCGGCTGCGCTGATGGGCGATCTGGAAAATCTCCCACTGCGCCTGGTGCTTGGGACCCTGGGGTGGCGGCTTGTTTTGGGCGTCCTTCATCTTGTTTGAGAAGATGAGCAGGTCATTCTCAATGTCGGTAAAGCCCTCTGGCGGGGGCTTTCGCTTCGATGAGTGTCGGATCGCGGGCATGATCGTGGTTGTTGTTGTTGTTGTTGTTGTTGCGACCTGATGTTTTCGGTCTTGGTAATGCTTGACGAAAGGGCCCCGAAATCGCAAGTGTCAAGAAGCAATGTTTAGGTATACCCGTCTCGCTGACGAAAGCCAGCCTTGTCAGTGGGGGAATTCCCTTGTGGCGGAGTTTCTAGTGTGTGGCGTAGTCTCACGTGATCTTATCCTTGGAGCTGTATTTCGTGATCTCGGCACGATCCCAGAACGTCAGGGCAGCGTGGTTTCCGAGTCCAAGAGCATCGATTGCCCACAATGGCCATTACGCCGACCGAGTTTGCGAAGAAAACGGTGCAGTGTGAGTAGATCATCCAACGGCGCCTCATTTACTGTGCTAACATTTGCAACAGCGGCCAATTGGTCGGATGCGAAGCGCCGAGTGCTCTCCTCTTACCGCGAATGGATCCGAGCTGTACGTTTGACGAGCCCCAGCACAACCTTCCGCTTCTTCGATTACATGGCAATGCATTTATAAGGGGTTGCCTTCGAGGGCCCTCAGCTCGTAGGGTAATGCTGGCTAACGAGCGTGGAATAGGCGCCTGAAGTCCAGACCATGTACAACATGCCCATGCCCGTCTCGCACATCCGGACCCGAATGCGACAAGAGTTCGAGCGAAACCGATACGCCAACAAGCTGTCCGTCGTGGATGTGCTCCTGTTCAAGTCCCATGCGGAGTACCAGGTATGAGAAGGGCGGGCTTCGTGGGTGTCGACACGGGAGGGAGGCTAATGCAAGTGTCGCTGATAGGAAACCATGAACTTCTGGAAGCAGACCAACCACATGATGTCATATTTCAAGACTGAGAACTTCCGCGGTGACAAGCGATTGCCCTCAAGCTTCATGACTGGCTTCCTGGAGGTGAGAAGCAAACGATCCTGTTTGCTCGGACTTACACTGACCTATACGCAGGGACGTAACTAAGGTGACAGCAACGATTACTCGTGTATATATCTCATTAGAACCTCTAGCAAAAGAAAGGAATCCCTCAGAACGCCTCCAAGCCCCTCACGCTTCAACGTGATTTTATTCTGGGAAATGCACCTCATCCAAGTCTCCGTGTTTTGGGTTTCAAGCGGGCACCCAGGCTTTACCGATCAATGCCGTGTTCGCTGTTGTATGCTTGTCTTTTTGTCCAGTACTCATCTGCAACCACGTCACAAACATCTTGAAGATCGCTCAGTCCCTTCTTGAGAGCGTCAAAAGCGGTTCCCTCTGTGTAAATCAATGAGCACAACATGTAACGGGTCAGAGAGAACTCGGCAAGAACACTCACTATACGTTTGAATTCTGATGTTCATCTTGGTCTCAGAAGGGTGAGGGATAGAGTAAGCGCAGAACTCAACATCAGGGCTGGGAATCATTAGTCTCCGTCGAGTCTCAAAAGCTTCAGTGAGGGCGTACTTCTTCATGACAATGTATCTCAAAGCGTTGCCCAGAGTGTGGCCTTCGTCGATGAACTCAAACGAGGCTGCAGTGTCCGTTGACCCAGGAAGCTGCGTTCTCGATTAGTTCGTGAATCTTTGCTTGGTCACCGTTACGTCTCGTCGACTCACAATCTTCACGCGCTGGGGCTCGATATCCTCTTCCTCTTCTTCTTCCTCCTCCACGTCCTCGTCGTTCACTGCCTCGGGCTGCGCGGATGGCGGGGCGTCCTCCATGTTGGCATCCTCGACGGGATCCTCCGTTTTCTTCGTGCGCACAGGCATTTCGAGGTAAGAAAAGTATGTGTGCTTTGAGTCTGTATTCGTTGTTTCACCAGTATCAGATTCAGTAGCGTGCATAAGCCAAATTCTAGGTTTGAGGTCAAGTTGCGTTCACCCACGGATTCAAGTCTTCATCAGCCGTCAGTGATGGAAATTTTGACCGGGCTGTGGCGGGGCGTTGTGGCGCAAAGTGGAGACAGGGACACCTTGATTTAGGCGATTCCTAGAATGGACAAATCCCACTTATCTGTATGAACCACATTACAAGGCATTCCAAACAACTCAGTTACCCAGCCCGGGTAGCTCAATTGGCTAGAGCGTGCGGCTTTTACATTCAATCATCAACGAATGGCCTACCGCAAGGTTGGGGGTTCGACCCCCCCCTCGGGCGAGTATGCGAGCGTATCGTCGTCATGGGATATCATCTTTTTGGGAGTTTCAACGGGTGCTCTTTTAGCGAGTCTCTTTTTGGCATCAACACCGTTTTTACCATGGTTGCTCGGTTCTGAAGTTACGGGTGACCGACCACCAGTTCAATATTGGGTACGTTTTCAACACATCCCAGTTGGCACCACCCATTTGAGCCACAAGTGAATTTTTGGTTCGCGTATGTTTAGCTTCATCGATGCCTGGCTCTTGGCTTCTTCACGAGGGTGGGACGGTGGTGTCGCTTTCGTATCGGCAAAGCCCGTGTGAGTTGAGTGCAGCAATGGCACGAGCAGACGATCAACTAAGTTATGTTAGCGGAAACGCATAGCATCGCAAAGGTCATCCTTCTTCGGGGTAATCCAATGCGACAAGAATGCACTGTAAACTCGATGGGATAGCTGTTAGATCAGTACAGGGTAATATATGGGAGAGTAGGTACCGAAAATAGGACACAGGGACTTGGTAACATCTCACATCGCACCGAACGATAGGCGCAGAGGGCCAAGCATCGTAATCCGTGGTTGATATTCCAGGCATGATCCACAGTGTAAGGGTAATTCCAAATATAGGTCAATATATCGAAATTCAGGGACCCGTGTCATACAAGAGAGGGCATGATGATGATGGTGGCTTTGTGGTACGCTAGCACTTATAGCCATTTTTTTTGGGGATTTTTGACAGGGAATCACATGCAACAACTCGCAGCAGGGAAATTGCTGGTCAAAGTATTGTCCACAGCAGGCAATAATAGAATGGCAATGTAGACCAACACATGGATGGGCAAATGGCGGACCACGAACGGGCGAACAGAGCGCGCCGGGCGACACAGCATCGTTATCCGTCCGGCTGCAACGGAGAGTGTGCAACAATTATTTGTCCTTGCATGAAATGGAGGAATAGAGATCCTCCTTGCCAAGTGCGCAGGCGTGCCCGTGGCTGGTACTTCACAATCTGTCAGCCACGGATGGTTTGGAGGGGGGGGTAGTTCTCAAGCGTGCCATTGCTACAAGGATGTTCCAGGGTATCCCACGAGGCAAACCCAAGATTTTGAAGATTGACAAGGATGCAATCCAGGCCGTCCACGTTGGCTGACAAAGTTGGCGAGATTCCAAGGTGTATGCTGGTCGAGTGCCGCCCACGATGAGTGGCCTGAGTCTGGTCAGCTGGACAATGCGTCTGATAAGGAAAACGTGATGCGTCTTGTGGCTGGTCAGTGTGCCAACACAGGGTGTCACCGAGGGCATCACCTTGGAACCACTCATGCCCGTTGGTCTGCCGAGCTGAAAATGAGATGGGACGAAATCGCATCCTAATATGGACTCCAATGGTGAGGCAGCCGGTCGTTGAAACACCTGGAACTAACCGAAACAGGGCTACTGACAGAGGAGCAATAGCAGGACTGGATATGCGTTTGAGGATCTGGAAGTGCATGATGGTTAGGCCAATCAGCGCCCGACGCTCAAGCAGCCTTGAAACATGGTCGCACAGACGACCCAATCAACAAACAAATGCACCCTTGGCACCTAGTCCCCAAACGACGGCGCGCTGAATGAATACTTGGGTGTGGCAACAGCACAGTTCAGGGTGGGACAGAGCAGTTCCAGTGCATGCGAAGGCAAATGGAACCACCCCCCAAAGATGCTCACGACCTGAGACGACGTCTCAGGTGAGGTGAAGTATATCCTTACATATACCTCACATGCAAGGAGATTGAAAGGCGACGGCGGGGAAGAGAGGCGAAACGGAAAAACCTTTGGTGACCGTCGGCAAGATGGAAAGACGATCAGCACATGTTAATTATCTCCCCATCCAAGCAAGGCGTTGAGGAGCAAGGAACAATGAGTGGAAGCCACCTGAGGCAATGATGGTAGACAGTCAGTGCCCATCTCTTCTGCATCTTGCAAGGGGGGTGGTGTCAAAGTACCACTGGTCAGCGACCGGGGCATGGGAAAATGTTGCTGGTGCCCACAAACTATTGCTTTCCGCATGTTACCGATCGTTCTACTTACTACCTGCCCCGTCAAAATAGATAGGGTGCCGGGAAAGGACACGATGAGATGTCTCAGGCAACTGATCTGAAGATGTCTCTGGGCACTGGCTCAGATCAGCCCAACGTGGGTGGCACGGGATCTGCGTCTCCAGCCTCTGAAAAGCAAAGAAACCCCATCGGGTTCGTCGCGAGCGACACTGTGCTGTGTGGACGTGTGGCACCAGACTGCTGGAGTCTGGCAATGGCAACGAGGCCATCGGGGACAGGGGGGTCATCAACGGAGGGCAAGATGACCAAAGAAGATGGTTCTCTCTCTCTCTCTCTCACTCTCAAAAACATGGCTCTCATCGTTTTGGCCGTGCTAGGAGGCCGTGTCAACCAACACATAATTAGTGCGACTTCCCAGCCACTTAGGAATTGCGAGAGACTGCCAGCAAATGTTGGGTCTGTTGGGAAGCATGAGGTTGGGAAAGCGAGCAAAACTGCGGTCCCTAGGTAGCTATATACAGCACGTTCAAACCCGCTCCGCCTGGTGAAAGAGGTCAATGGTGATCAATGCAAGCGGCTTCACATCCATCGTTGGCAGTTTGAACACTGACACCGCGCGGCACGAAGCGATGAGGAAGAAGGGGGTGGGGTGCGTTTCACGGGTCAAAGTCAGGGGTGTACCTGGAGGTCGAGGTGGAGTGCGAAACTCACGAGAGCCCGAATGGTGTAGCAGACGCAGGTGTCAGGACCAGCTAAACCGCCTTGGCTGTAGACCATGAATAGTGCTCAATAGGGCCAGGAAGAGCCGACTCGAGGAGACAAGGGGCAGTGAGAGGGGAAATGGTGACGAACGGTAATGGTAACACAGGACGCAAACGGGCCGTAAGGCTTGAGAGGCAATGAGGCAGTGAGGCCACCAGACGGTCTTCGGAAGGGCCTACATCCTTTCATTTTCCTCATGTTGTGCCTGATCGGCTCCTTCATCGACATTTTCAAACATGGCCATGCTTGGGGCTCGGGACGAAGCGGTAGCAGCGGTCGTAGCGGTCGTAGCGAAGTCAGGCATGCGCTGGGAGGCGCTGCGTTTGCTGGAATAATTGTGGCCGGAGATCGTCAGGGACGTCCTGGGGGGTGTATGCGAGGGGGGGCGGAGAAGTTTCAGCGGGTGGGAGTGAGATCGGAGCTGGAGCTAAGCACAGTTCCGGATACCACATACTTTGCGTAGACACAGTAGCTTTTGGAGTGGCAACGGAAACTCACCTAAAATGATGGAGGGGGATAAAGCAGCCATGAACAGGATGACCCCAGTATTAGAGTACGTAGCAGGCGCCCGGTCTTCGAGGTGTTGATCTGGGGATTGGCATTGACTTTTGCTGGGTTTGATGCTCTCTGTTGATTGCGATGTGGTTGCTGGCTCATGCAGCGGGGTCTTGAGTTGAGCCGCCCTGGACGCTTCGAGAGTTGAGATGTAACCCTTCCTTCCACTTCGGTATACACGAAGGAGCCAGTGTCGTACTGCTGCATGGACGGAAAGCGCCATTAGCTACCTACATGCACAGTAGGTAGGCTGTCGCTCGCTCGTCCCATGTACCTAAGTTCGGGACGGCAGGTAGGTACTTTTGCCTTGGAAGACGCTGATAATCGTGGCGATGGTGGCACCGTGAAACCCTGATCATCCAGCCCAAAGGGTTTCCAACGTCCAACGTCTAACATCCATCACTCAACAAACCAATCCCTCACCGGCTCCCAAAGGGCCCGAGACCAACATTACCCCCCAAATGACCTTTGATGCAGCATGCGCAACCATCCACCAACAAAATACAACCCCTTTCTGTCTCTCTGGCGTTGTGTCGAAACACCTGGGAGCAATGAGCAGAGAGTGGATGCAGCGTCGTGGATCACTGACGAACAAACTCGACTACGCGTTTCTCTTCTATTTTTTAGGGTCTGGGGCTGGCCGCTTCATCCTCTAAACTCAGGCTTCAATCACTAGGTTACCAGCCACGGGGTACACCTACACCACCCAGATCCCATCCACTCCATCCATCCAGGCCCAGGGCTTCTGGCTGCAACAACACGCTGCCTAGTACAAATCCGCTGCGCGACCACCCCCCCCCCCCCCCCCCCCCCCCCCCCCGAAACCACTGGAACCCCACCGAGGTCGTGTCGCAACCTACAGCGCCTCGGCTTCGTTGAGAAGTAGGACGATGGATTTGCGGCGGTTCCAGGGACTGCCGCAAAGCTTCTGGTCTGTGTGTCTGGGATTGACACAACGTTGGAGAAACAACAAGAGGCGGTCAGTTCCAGCTGAAGACATTCCATTGTGTCCCTCTCCTCACTCTTCGTCACGGGTCTGTATCCGTGTCTGTGAGGGGTACCCTCCGTGCCCAACTGCCCATTCTCCATCCCTCTCTCCGTATTTTCAGGGGACCAACTGCAAGTGAAGGCTCCTGGCACACCACCTAATTCATTGCCTCTATGCGCATACGAAGTGCTGTATAATGGTAACATACACACACACACACACACACACACACACGCACATGCACACGCAACGACAACACAGTGCATGGCATAGCATGGCAGCGCATCACAGCCTCGTGACTGGCGGGTTCGGCTGGGAACAGTGAGGGGAACAGGGGAGGAGGACAGCTCAGACGAAGATACCCAATCAGAAACGCCAGGGGCCACGTCGCAGTATCTGTTAGTATCAATCCAAAACCGCCAACGACGGTGAGAACGACTGCGACGAGTGATGGATGGTTGGCCTCTTGGCTCGCCGGGGTCGTGTGCAGCAACAGCAGCAGTGGGCTTCAGGTGGATGAGGGGGCGGGATGGGGCGGTCCTTTACTTGGGTTATGTGCAGGTTGCCTGGTTGCTTACCTTTGTCCCCTCTGTTCTTCGTACAGAGTACAGTACCGTGCCTCTTCGACAGCCTGCGATGCATTAGACCCCTGCCTCCCTGTGCCGTTGGTTGGCTTGGC